GATGTGATGTGATGTGATGTGATGTGATGTGATGTGATGTGATGTGAGGTGAGGTGAGGTGAGGTGAGGTGAGGTGAGGTGAGAGGAGAGGAGAGGAGAGGAGAGGAGAGGAGAGGAGAGGAGAGGAGAAGTGTCCTTGAGGTAGCAAAAAGAGCACCGCCGAGGGATTCTGTTGCAGGCGCGATGTATGCGATATGTGATTCTGCTCAACCCTAGTTAGTTGGCCGACGGTATAAAATAGATTGTGAAGTGTTGAACAACACGGGTGAGGCCGACGCACGATTCACGCGCGCTTATAACTAACACGAGCAGGCGTGGGCAAACTTTTGGGGCGGTCTGTCTCAATCGTTTTAGCAGGCTCTAGAAGCGGCAAACAAAGGGCACCACAAATGCCCTTTAGGATCCTGGGTCCTGTTGGTATGTATAGAGCCTGTACCAGCGATGGCCTCCAACTACTATAGCGATGGCCTCCCACCTACTATAGCGACGACCTCCAACCTACTATATGTGTATATACATTTGATGATTCCCACCATACGTTCGTCCTTCATCCATAGGTCACGCAAACCACGGTTGTCTCTGAACGGTTTTCTTTTTCGCAGGGGGTGAGGTTGTATTTGTACTTTCTTCTGGCCAAAGCAATGGTCGTTTGATGTTTCTGTCAAGCGCTAGCTCCAGGCCTTATTCAAGTAAACAGATCCCCTAGATGCATGACGCCTCCATCTAATTTGCTATTGGGCGTGTGGTGCCCCGAGCTGTCTCTTTGAAGGTTGTTGGGGAAACTCTGCTAATGTTTAGACGTTCCCAATGTTTCGATCACACTTAAGTCGGACGTCGGACACCATGTTTTTTCTTGGGGGGCAAGAACTCAAGAACGGTCTACCTGTAATGAATCCCCTCACACTTTTTCTTTACACTAGAATTGAAACAAGCAACGCCACCGTTCAAGAAATTGTCTGTACGTTTTGCATTCTTGTATGTCGCTGGCGCGATGTCTCCCAAGGATCAGTGCTGTGGTTGCAAAGCGGAGAAGGACTTGCCGGACATGTTCGAAGTCCTCGGCTCGAAGTATGATGAGGACATACATGTCTATGGGCCTCTGGCCCAATGCTAGGTCTTCATGGAACTGTCATTCCACAACTCAGAACTAGCCTCTGTGTTTCTAGGATGTCATGTTTGATCCTCTTCGCTTTTAGATTTCCTAGCAGCCTTACCCACCAAAAAGGTTACAATGTATAACATGTAAGGCTTCTTACTTCTCAGTGACTTAGTGTTCATAAGAAGGTCACATGCCTATTGGACATCTGGTTTCCACATGTCTGATTCACTGCGATGCGAAGAACGACTGTTTATTGAGCCTTTGAAGATCTGCACCATGACAACACAATAGTCAAGACTGATGTGCAAATGTTTGCCTAGTCCAATTTCAGACATGCCCAAACTACTCGCGGTGAGGATGCGCAGATTAAGCTACTTTTCAGCAAGCCGATCGATTGGCAGGATGATGCCTCTTGGCGGGTTGAGTTGGAGTCACCTGACTTGTAAAAGATTACACAAACGTGTAAAAGCAGCCAACGCCACGTGAGCGTTGCTAACATCATTTTAACCGTTGCGCACTAGGCAAGCTTTTTGGTGGAGATTGTAAATTTAACACCATGCGCAGTCCTACTTTCTTTATGCGATCAGCGCCAAATGTATAGCGCTCCAAGACCACCGTTAACCCATGATCCATAAAACAACGTAGAAACCAATCAATTGGCATGGACTGGATTTCAAGATCCAAGTTGAAACCACCCCAAACCATACATACATCGCGCACGGCCTGGGGCAGGTCGTTTATCGTTTATCCGAAGATACGTTTCCCCCATCTCGGTATGCTGAGGCTCTGCTGTATGATGTGGCCCGCTATCTGAAGACCTCGTCTGTCCTCGGCTTGCCAAAGGCTTGGCCATCAGACTGGCTTTGAGGCCAACTGTTGGATTAAGTTGAGTGGTTTTCTCTCACTCAGCTTACTTGGGGTTTGCTTGTGAAACAAGCATCATAGGGTATCTACGGTATGTACCAGCCGCTGTTCACAGACATTAGTGGCTCTGAACTTTGAGAAACAAGGTTTCAGGATCAACACAGGTGGAACGACGTCTAAAAGACTTGTGTTGACAGCTTGCTTTGTGCAACTTTTACTTCAATACATTGTTGTTCGGCTGACTTTCTGTGAGTTACCATTTTTAAGATGGAATCGTGACAATATTTTTGGTCACCATATGGGCCGTCGAAATCCGTCGAAATCCGTCGAAATGTACAGTTTTTGTACGTATCCAACTTACCGTGTTTGGTCGATAGATGTCGGTTCAGATTTTGACGTCTTGAGATTTTTTTTGGATCTGAATGATTTTTTTTCGAAAACATGGTGCGCGTATTGCCTTTATCACCAAGCCGGTCTTGGGAAGATCTCACTGAGTGTCCTTGTCCCCCCGTTTTTGTGGCGATGGCCCCAAAGCGTGGCAAGCCCCTTCAAGACCAAGACGTTCAGACGGCGCACTCCATGGAGCCATGGATCAAAAGAATATTTTTGTGTGTCTCCTAAAAGGGCGTTTCTTTGATACAAAAACGATAAAGCACGGCAGAGCTCTGTGCGGCCCCTGGTTCAGGAAAGGTTGGCTCTACAGGTTGATGCCGGAATGCTCGCTGGCGGCATCCCTGCACTGACTGCAGAGCAGTTGGAGTCTGTGCGGGCCAGGATGCACCCTGGCTGTCAAGAAACCGACACCGTTGTGAAAAAATTTGCTTTTCAGTCTTGTGTGCGCCTGTCGAGATCTGCGTCCTCCATCTATCTTATATATGTATCTAACGTTCTAACTATCTATCTGTATCTAACGTTCTAACTACCTATCTATCTAACTATCTATCTATCTATCTATCTAAAGCTATCTAAAGCTATCTATCTATATATATATATAGATATATCTATCTATCATATCTATATCTTTTAGCGTCTATATATATATATAGAATATACTATTTGTACATTATATATATTATCTAGTTAGAGCAACATGTTGCCAACGTTCGTGCGCAAAGGGAGGGGTTGGAATTCTGCCTAGGCAAACCTTGAGTGCACTCCCTGCACAAGTGGCAGCAGGGGGGGGGCTCCACCAGCTCCCACTCTGCCGTCAGGCGCCCCGACGGCGCCCGCGCAACCAGCAGCACCACCTGCACAGGCTCCAAATGCACTGCCAGTAAGTGCGCCGACTGCACCCAGCCCAG